TTTTTTCTCATTTTTATCTATCCTTTTGAATATACCAGATGTCTCCATTATTTAAGGTTTTGTTCTTCCAATTACATTAACTTCAAATTGAAACTGAATTACTTGAGTAGTAGTTTTTCTAAATGCTTTTCTTTTACTCTTAATTGTATAATTTTATGAACCTCTACTTTGTACTTTTACATGAATATTTTTAATTTGAAGTAACGTTACTTTTCACCATGAGTAATGTGTGTACTGGGCTGTTGAAGGGGTACAGGTCATGGGACATGGGTGACGTATGGTCCCATGTATAGATACCATAAATCCCACTAATAATGGTTTCCCTATTTGCTGCATGTGCGTGGTATAAAGGGCTCAAGCCAAGGGTGTTAGAAGTGTCATGGCGGTATTGTTGACGAATTGCCTTTTAAAGATATCAAAGGCAGAGGTGTTATGTGGTGAAGGATGGTACTGCGAGGGGCCCTGACTGCTTCTCCTGACCATATTTTCTCCCGGGGGAAATTTGTCTTTTTATCAAGTGTCCGTAGAAGTCTCGCCGTATCCGGACTGAATAAATCAAGCTGAATTAGTTTTGCGACCCTCTTATCGGGGATACATTTCAGGGACATTTTTCTGTGCTGATCACAGTAAAGATGGAAGTGTACGTTTGTGTTTATAACTGAAAATGCACTGTATGCTGCTGTAAAAATATAAATTCACATTATAAAGGACCATAGCAATATAAATGTGTATAAAAGGATATTTATGTAAGGAACAGGACATTGGGCTGCATAAATAATTGTAATTGACATGAAATTGTAATTTGAGTTGGCACAATTGTGAAATTACTGTTGTACCTGTTTTTTTGAAGCACAATTTATTGCTACAGAGATATACTGCAATACATGATAATATTAAAACAAATTTGTGCCACTGATACATAATAAAATAAAATACAGCAGGATAATCCCAGAAAACATTAAAATGTATGAACTGCAAAATATAATGCACTATTAATGGTCAGTAATTAGCCACAGAAGTCACTTATTCAACATTTTACAGCTGAAATCTTATTCTTTTACAACAAAATACTGAAAAACTCCCCACTTTTACAACAATATTTTACATGCAATAAATAATGAGCCCCAGATATTGTTCCAACTTAAATATATTGAATGATAAATCAATATAGTTGTTATCATGACAGGCCTATTTAGACCTTTACAAAATTGGATTATTGTATTAATTTATTAGTTCTTAATTCACTTTTTTAAAAAGTTAATGCTTCTGGAGTTTTCAATGTGGATTCTGAACACCATCCTACATTTTAAACATGTATCACTAATCCAATATCAAAAAATTTTGATTAGATTTTTAACCATGCAGTTCTACGAGATATGGAAGAAGTTTATGTAAGTAACATGTCATCGTTTGGCATAACAAGAACTATTTTTTATTATAATAAGACATTTACCCTTTACCATAGATTTTTATGGGAAAATGTAAACATACTATACTATAGCTTCTTCAGTATATTGAGGTCTATCCTATGAGCTCTGATAGGGAATACTATTAAAAAAAAAAAGCCTGACATACATGGACTTTTACTTTTTATTAACTCACGTATTCATGTTTATTCATGTATTTCTTATAGCTATATAAACATGGCTATTCCTTATCATTTCCCACGGTACCCCACATATATAAGGCCCATATTTGCTATAATTGCAAAGAAATGGTGACGGTGGGAGTACGAGAATCATCACATTTCCATATATGACTTCCCATATATTACATAAAATCCGTAATTTGCATTAGGCATATAGCATCGTAGTGTCTGCTCATGTTTTTGTCTTCTCCAGTTATGAAATTGAATTTTTGTGATGAATGAAAGCTGCTAATTTGTGTTTCTTTCAGCGGCTGGTCCTCCCCCTCAGTCTGTCTGATTATATGCAGCCGTCTCTGTCCTTTTTAGTTCTTCTTTGTGATTTTCTCTGTGAATTTTTGTAAAAACATGTCGCGGAGCTCCCTTTGGTGCAGCAGTAATTTGCCTTTCACTTTCTCCCATCCTCCTGACAGTGTTAAGTGCTTCACTACTGGCTGTGATTGAATGTGTACTATTGTTTTGAAGCATAGAAACAGAAATAACTTTTTGGGCAATTATTATGCCTTTGTCTGACAAAATAACAGCAGTATGTTTGGGTGTCCCAGATTCCAGGAGCTTTAAAGGAATGATACCTGATTTTGTACATTTCAGGAAAACACTTTAATTACCTAATAGCGGGGTGTAATAGCTTTGTAAATTACACACACACTTACGGTTTAAGAAAGATTCTCTTTGGTTTTGGCTTTGCATAAAAAATTACAATCCGAGATACATGCAGCAAATGTATTACGAAAATGAAAAATTTATAGATTCTAATCTGTTATTTATAATTGCAAAACAAATCCACCTTTTCTGTCCAGAAATTTGACTGGCATCACAGTGTGAAATTGGTGTGAAGTGAAGAGCTTTTTCTCTGCTTTGCTTTCTTTGTGTTTATTGTATATTTGTATATTACTCTATTTTCTGATGTTATAACGTTGTTTCCTCATCAAAAACATACCCAAATTTTTTTTTGTTTAATTCAAACTTGTTTAATTCTGCATGAGGCTGAGCTCTTCTCTCCACAGAAAACACACTGTTGAACCTTGTGATATCATGTGGTAATACAGCAAGTGCTCCACTGTGTTTTTAAAATCCTCTTCACCTAATAATTTGGATAATTTCAAATCTGGAATTGCCCATCTCTACTGAGCTCAAGGTAAAAAGTAGCTGTTAACTTGAAACTACCACTATATGACATCACAAGGTGCAATAGATAGATAATAATTTCGAGACTTGAAGATGTAGACAGACTCATAATAAAGGATTACTCAAACATGTGTGAATGAAAAAAAACACAACTCCAGGTATGTTTTTGATGAAGTAACCACATTATAACATGGCTTAAAGTTCACAAGAGTTGATTCAGCATAATATAAGACCTTTAAGTTGACACACTTGTTGTGACGTAGATGGACCATGTGGTTCCGATTGGTTAATCTGCCTGTCAGTCATATACATTGTGGCAGTGGGAGATAAGACAAGGTTCCAGACATCTTTGTGTATAGGATGGCCATGCAAAGTAAAGAGTGAAACATGAATGAGTGAAAAGAAAACATTATATTGATTGCAAACCTATGCGAAAGACCCATGTGAGTCACTGTATGATGCTTTTGAATGAGAGCTTTACTTTTATATCTGGCTACCAGTTAGGTGTAAATACCTTTAAATTTTTGAAAACTGGGTGCACCATATTTTGTAAAATAGGCCGGTCATGTTGTTATGATTGGTGTAGTTCAAGTTGACCTGTCTCCATATGTCGAAATATTGATCAGTTTATCCATGTTGTATTTGATAAACGTGTTCTTTTTGTGTCAGACATATGTGGTGTAGACTGCAGAGGCGTGGGGCCAGGGGCTTATCTCAGTGAGTTTGTGCAGTAATTAAATCAGGCTGAAGTTTCTCAGCTCTGTCTGTGTTTCCTCTTTAATCAGGGACCATTAAACCTCTGATTGCACTCGGCTCCTGACTCCAGTCTCTTCAAAGGCTGCAGGCTGAATGTTCTCTGCTTCTTATTGTTAACATATCTGCATATGTTCAGTTTGTTATAGGCCATGAATATATTATCTACGTGTATAGACCTAAAGTCACTCGCATTCTACATACACCAAAAATCTATACCCTGAACCAGTCCATACTAAAACTTGCATTGAAACTGGACTGAACAAGTATCAGTAGTGAAAAAATTAATATAAACAAGACTAAGTTGAACCTTTCAGGACCTTACAAGACTACATTTTAATATAAAATACAGCTATTTTTAGAATGACCAATAGCAAAGAGGAGCATGAGATAGGTGAACGCAAATTTTGGATTGTCAAATCTTGGTAAAGGAATCAATGTATGCACTTACTTAGACTAACACTACACTTTTTCCAAGTCAAATTATGGTAAAAAAAAGAGTCTTATAATTCCAATATTCCATTGCATTGATGTGAATGTTGTGATGTACTATTTGTAACCCACCCATACAAATATGTGGTATTATTTTGGATGTAAAAATGTGACAGTGTGAGTATAGTATAATCCACAAAAGTCAGGACACATGTTGACTGAGGCCGGAGGAGCCTGTTATTCCGCTCCACTTTGACTGAACATGAAGACTTTTTGCATCCTTAAATCTGACTACACCACTGCATCACCACCACTGACCCACGAGAGACACGACCCCAAAGTGTTCAGACAGCCACAGCCATGAGCAGACGCTTGCATGGAGAGTTTTGGACTATATTTTATTTTCTACTCCTGTCGTTGGGAGAAAATCAAGCAAAACGGCTTCTAATAGTGGCTCCCTGTGACTCATGCCCTCAGCACAAGGTCATCTGTGATTCACCGGGCGTCACTCTTCACAGATCACATCGATTAAAACTGATGCCCGTTCTGACACACAGTACAGCTTTGCGTACATGTTCTCATTCAAATGCAACCACAGACAAGGTTGTTCAGATGACTTTAGTTTGTTCAGATGACTTTTAGTTTACTTTTTGCTATTGGTTGCTCAAAGGTTAATTGCAAATGAAAAGTTATCACACACCTATCAACAAGCTCTAAAGGAAATGTACTGTTGTTTTAGTTTTTAATTTTGCAAATCTAAACCTATTTATCAGTACAATGGGTTACACAACATACTATACTTTTTATAGCCTTAATAAATAAATTTAACTGAGTTTATTTATTAGCAATTGGGCTACATACTTTTCCCAAACTACAGCTGGATAACCTTTTCAATGCATCAGCACACTGCAGTCGCTCAGTGAAATTATAACTTGCTAAATTCAACAAAAATCATTTGGATGAACATGATGTAAAGGTTCTGATTAGGTCAACTTTTTAAAATAGATTTTATTCTAATCTTTCCGTGTTTGTGTTTCCGCAGCCCCCGTCATCCTAAATGAGCTGAACTGGACTCAGGCACTGGAGCGAGTCTTTATTGAGAACCGCAGAGAGGACAGCTCCCTCCGGTGGCAGGTGTTTGGCAGTGCGACCGGCGTCACGCGCTACTACCCAGGTGAGTGTGGAGCATCAGTCACCGATAACCTGCCCCGGCCTCAGACTCTCACAGATAAAGTCTAAATTGGCCCCGGAGCTTTGGGCCAGCGGCACATTGGCCACTCCTTATCAGATTGCACTTCAGTAACTTGACCGACAGAAGTAAATTATGATTTTTGACTTTGATCTAATCTTTTCCAGTCTGAAAAATCACACATAGGACTATAGACTGTCTATAACTCATAGTGTTGCTTTGTGCAGCTACTCCATGGAGAGCGCCCAACAAAATCGACCTGTATGACGTCCGCAGAAGGCCTTGGTGAGTGAGAAATCTTCAGTTAATTCTATTTTGGTGTAAAAGTTGTGGCTGTTATCTCTAAATAGTTTTCTCTGTAGATATTTGTATTATCAAAGTTGTTTTTCAAAGTACATTACATATAATCTTCTTTTTCATGGGTGGACCTTTAGTGTTTGGTCCATGTTGAAATGAGGTCTGTGTACTAAAGCAGCTGTTTCACCTAACTGATCTTGTATTGATGTAGCAGGGATGTCAAATAATCATATTCTGCATATTACTGCATGTGAATTCTGCATCAAACCCAGAAGTGTACGTTTTCCTCCAGCTGGACATGAACCACACAGACTCAGAAACCACCTGTCCTCCTCCAGCTCTCTCCTCCTTCCATATGCAACCTGCTCTCCCTTTTTCTCTCTCTTCTTTTTCATTCTCTCTTCCCTCACTCTGTATACCTGTTCTCTTTCTTTCTTATCCCTTTTCTCTCCCCTTGTACCTCTCTCCACGTACCACCTCTTTCCTCTCCTCATTGTACCTGCTCTCTCACCTTCTCTGACTGTCTCTCCATCACTCTACCTCTCCTCCCTCTCTATGTTCTCTCTGCTTTCTCTCTCATCTGCTCCTTGTACCTTCTTTCTCACACTCTCACCTTTACTTGCCCTCTATCTCTCCTTTTCTCCTTACCTCCTCTCTACAGCGGCCTCTCCTCCTTGTAGCTGCGCTTTCTCTCCCTAAACTTTTATCTCTCTCATTTCTTCCTCCTTGTACCTGCACGCATCCTTCCCATAAACCTTCTTTCTCAGCCCCTCTCTCTTCCCTCTCCCTAAACTTGCTCTCTCTCACTCTCTCCTTTTGGCCATGAATTGGCTCTCTCCCTCCTTGTTCTTTTTCTCTTCCCTCTCTCCTCTCCTCCTTGCTCTCACTCCTTTCCTCCTTGTACCAGCTCTCTCTGCCCTTTCTCTACTCCTGTCCTCTTTGTACCTGCTCTCACTCTCTTTTTCTGCATTTCTACTTGTACCTCTTCTCTCCCTCTCTCTACTCTCCTCATCGTACCCACGCTCACTCTCTCCTCTTCTTACCTGCCTTCTCTCCTCTCCTTCTTGCTCTCTCCCCTCCTCCTCTTACCTGCTCTCTCTCTCTCTCTCTCTCTGTCTCTGCTGTCACCTGTCTGTTGCCTGGTTACATTCTCGGAGTGGACTGGACATAATGTTGACTGGCGTTGTGATTAGACTTGACCTGGTTTTCGCCATGCGCCCGTGTCCGCCTCGCTCTGATTGGCTGTTTGGGGTCACTCCCGCTGTCAGACCAAGTCAACAAGAGCTCCAGCCATACAAACACAGGCAGGCCCAAGGAGCAGAGTCAACGCCATTTCAAGTGTGTGAAAAGTGGAAGAAGCACTTTTCATTGTAAGAAAGTAAGAGGCGTTCAAAGGGTCTATATTAGGCAAAACTGATTGACTCCTCTGAGCTTTTAGCCATGTTACAATGTTGTCATCTCACCAAAATATACTTGGAGTTGTGTTTTGTTTCATTCACACATGTTTGAGGAACCTTGTCTTATTAGTGTGTCTACATCTTCAAAGTCTTTGTTCCACCTTGTGATGTCATGTAGTGGTAGTTTTCAAGTTAACAGCTACCTTTTACCTTCTGTTCAGTAAAGATTGGAAATTACAGAGCTGAAATTAGCAAAATGTCTGTAGTGAAGAGGTATGAAGTTTAAAAACACAGTGGAGCTCTGGAGTGTTTTCTGTTTAAGAGAAGAACTCGGCCCAAATATTAACTTGTGTGTATGAAAAATCCCTCAGTCATCCAGGTAGAATCCATGGCGAGGAGAAAATTCAGTTTGTCGAATGGACAAAAGTTAGTTTGGTTGAAGATGTTTCGCAGCTCATCCAAGCTGCTTCTTCAGTTGGAACTGAAGAACTGAAGAAGCAGCTTGGATGAGCTGCGAAACTTTTGTCCAGTCGACAAACTGAATTTTCTTCTCGCCATTAACTTGTGTGTTTGTTTTGTTTCATTCAAACATGTTTAACGCACAAAATCTGCATATTTAGGCTGAGTTCTTCTCTCCATGGAAAACACTGTTTCACCTTGTGATGTCATGTGGTAATACAGGAAGTGCTCCACTATGTTTTTAAAATCCTCTTCATTTTAATAATTTGAATAATTTCAGACCTGGAATTGCCCATCTCTACTGAACTCAAGGTAAAAGGTAGGCGTTAACTTGAAAACTACCACTACATGACATCAGAAGGTGCAATAGAGTATTTTGAGCGTTGAAGCTATAGACAGACTAATAATAAAGGATTACTCAAACATTTGTGAATGAAACCAAAAACAATTCCAGGTACTCCAGGTGTTGAAACAATATTATTATAAAGAAAATGGTGTAATATGGGCCCTTTAAAGAAGCTGAGAGGTCATTTGAAGTACTTGTGTGGTTTAGGATGCTAGCAGTCCAAAATTGTATTGTTACTTTATAATTAGCTGTGAAAAAATATGTAGCAAAAATAATTACTGAGGCCATTATGGAAGTAAAGTTTGAAGGTAACATCTAATTTATGTTTTAGCTGTAGTCTTTATGCATTTATTTGATAGGGACAGAGCATATTCATGAACAGCTGTTTTAACAGTGTAAATGTGCCTTTTAAATCTGCCTTCTTTGCCTTTTTTGGCTGACAGAGAACCATGATCTGGCAGGTTTTTGCCTTTTGCATTAATTTTGCCTAGTCACTCTGAATGTGACTATGTAGCCTATGAGGATGAAGTGTCTTGCCAAAGGATACAAAGGTTGTGTATGCTTGAGCGAGCTTTGAAGCACTGACCTTTGCCCTTGATATTAGAATACAAGAAAAACAAACTGGCCGATGAAAATAGTTGGTATGTTGGTAAGTATGACTGACTCTATACCAGTGTTGGATGAAGTACTCAATTTTGTTAAAGTAAAAGTACAGATATACTGGGGCAAAGTATCACATGAAAAAAGTAAGAGTAAGAGTAAGTAAAAAAAAGTTAAAGTATTAAAGTAAAAGTGAAAAACTACAAGTATTTTGCAGAGAATTTAAGAACAGTTAGAGATTTAAGTGATTTGACTGATTTGTTAATTTTTCTGTTAAGTTTTTTGTGTGTTTTTGTGTGTTTGGTTTGCTTAAAATTGGGATGTAAACTCAATTGAAATGTGCTAAAAATAAGTCTCAGCCTTTTAAGCAAGTCTCAAACCATAAAAAAGTACTTTTTACTTTTCAGTCCAGATCTAAAATGTAGTGGAGTAGAAAGTACAGATACATGCTCCCAATTGTAGTGAAGTAAAAGTAAAAATGACCCACCGTAAAAAGTACTTAAAATAAAGTACAGATACCTAAACATTGTACGTAAGTATTATACTTTTACTTTTGTACTTCATTATCTTCCACCACTAATCTATATTCTAAAGTAGATAACTGTAATTTCCAAACTTGTTCAATATTCAGCTATTTGCATTATGATTTAGCAGTGACAAAATATTCAACAAGTTCCACTACAGTGTGCTATTTATTTATTTATTTATGCCAAAGCAGCATCAGTAGCCATTTAAAATCTCACGGCTAACAAGAAACTTTGACATTTTAATTAGCTTTAAATCAAACTAAAGTGTACCTTTGCTGTCCCGGAGTGACAATATACAACACTAAAACATCAAGCCCAAATCACTTCACATTTGAGAATAGCAAGTACTGTACTCTCAAGATCATTTATGGTTCTGCTTAGGGCCACCTCGTTTTGACACATGTTAGTGAACTGCAAGGAGACAGGGAGCAAAGAGACAAGGGAATAAGGAAGTAGGAAGCTCTGAGAGGACAGTTGTGAGTGGCAGGTGTCTGTTGACAGGGTGAGGCAGATGAGAGGTGTGTTTTTGCTCCTGTCAGTCTCGGCTCCTCCATGTTTGTCACTGTCATGGCCGCCCTTCTTCTCCACACGCCGCACACATTCAGACCTGTTGCTTAGTAACAGCTTCAGTGTTCAAATAGGGCAAAGCGGCTTCACACAGAGGAGAGGGTTAAGAAGTGGGAGCAAGTCTTTCAAATACCAAAATCAAAGTTATATTTCCAGTAAGAGTAGCTGTAGGGAGTAGTGCTGTAAAAAAAATAGTGTGAGTAGGTTCTGCTTTTTAAAATCTTTGACAGTACTTGCAATAAAATAGGTCCACAGTTAGGACTGAGCAATCACAATGGTCTATTGTATATTTTTTTTATTGTATATATTATAATAAAAAAAATTTATATTAATTTTGAATAGAAATAAGTTTTTCTTACTTTTCTCTTTTTTATCAGTATAAAAAACAATGTATTCCTTCAAAGTCTAAGCTTCAGAACACTTCTGTAGACTTCCTGATTCAAAAGATTGACTATCTGAAATAATTGTATTTCCATTTAATAAAAAATAAATTCCTTATTATTATACTGTTCATTACCTACTTCATAATTACACCTACTAATTTTACTGCTGTTAACTGTAATAATAACCAGTCCATGTACAGTTCTTCATTCAAATGTTTACTTTTTGTAACTTTCAAAAAAGTCAATTTAGGTTAGAAAATATTTTCTTCCATCTCGCTATAGCATGTACTGTCATGATTTGTGGGGTCAGTTGGGGGTGATGTCGTCCTCATGTCCAGCTCTAATGTGGTGTGGTCACTCACAGTCTGCTGCGGTTAGTGTCAGGAGTGACCGGGACAAGTCTAAAGATGGCACCATCTCGCATTGGAACAGCCTCGCTTGCAATCTCCTCCCTGTGCACCTGGCATATCAGACTGGAGTCATATTCGCTGATGCCTCATTGTCCTGTGTAGAAACTAGGTCATAGAGGTCATACAGTAAGCTTCAGTATTTTTACAAGCTGAATAATACAGTAAATGTCCAACCCATGATCACAATTAATTTAACTATAGTTACAATGACTAGCTCCAAATTTTCTATTTTACAAGATTATTCTTAAAACATACTTAACATGTTTATATTTTATGCACCACAACATAAAATCATAGTT